GCACCCACAAATCTATCTCCCCCCACACACACACAAAGCTATTCTTTCCATCTCACTTAATGGTCCTAACATTCACCAAGTTCCTCAGACCAAAAATCCTAATGTCTTTATTCCTCTCTTTCCCTTCCTGCCACATCCAGCTAACCAGCAAATCCTGTTGGTTCTTCAGATATATTCCAAATCTGAGTAGTTCTCACCACTTCTACCCCTACTATCATGAATCAATCTGAGTCCTCTCTTGCCTGAACTACTACTGTAGCCTCCTAATTGGTTTTCCTGATTCTCTTCTGGCTCTCTTACACACCTCTCATTTATAGTTAGAATAAAATCGAAATTCTGCGAGTCTTCCAGGAACTTCATGGTTGGAAAAATAGGCCAAGTTATGGACTTTGATCTTTATCCCATGAGAAGGTTGATGAGGGCTGAGACATGATCAGATTTGCATTTATAAAAATATTAGAGGCCTGTTGCACCATGAGATTCATGTAATAGGCCTTCCTCCCCTTGGCTTCCAGCACCAGTTTTCCTCCAGCAACCGGTACCCAGGCCTTCACTCCGACCAGAGTCTGCGGTCTTCGTCTGCGCTACAGACTCTGGCCAGTTCATCTTCACTGCTTCACTGCAGACTCTGGCCGGAGTCTGCCATCTTCGTCTTTGCTGCGGCACTCCACTCCTGTAGATCCCTTCGCCCCCCGCCCTCCCTCTCATAGCAGGCGTCCTACCCTGCCTTGCCACTCTACACCTGGAGCAGCTGGGCGGCCGCCATCTTTGGCCTTCTAATTTGCATACTCACTCTGATTGGCTGTGGGTGTAGCAGAGGTACGGTCAATTTATATCTTATCTTATTAGGTAAGATCATTCTGGGTACCCTGAGAAAAATGGCTTGGACCAGTGTTTTTAACGTTTAGGGGTGGGGACACACAGTTGCTGTTTTGGGTGGGTTAATTCTGTGTTGTATTGAAATATAGGATGTTTAGCATCTCTGGGCCTTGTCCACTAAGTGTCAAGAAGGCCCACCAGTTATTAGGACAATTACCTTTCTCACATGCACTTACACATTTCCAAACACTTGAGTCCCTCCACCCCCCTGATTCTTCCTCCCACTACTGAACCTCTGCTGGGAATCAGAGGGAATATATTATAGTTAGGAGGCTACTGCCGTCAGTAAAGGGAGAGGCTCAGACTAGGGCAATGGTGAATAGAGGTCAAGATTGAAAATACCTACATGCAGCCTTGGTAAATCGCTGGTTTTGGGGAGTGAGGGAGAAGGAGGGACTAAGGAGGTGTCACTCCCAGGTTTCTGGCTTAGGTATCTCGTAAGACTTGGCTTAGAGAAAAAGCCAAATTTTAGGGCAAATTTAGATTTAAAACTCCATGCTTGATTTTCTGCTTTATGAATGAGAGGTTTGGATTAAGTGAGCTCTAAGGCCATTACCAGTTCTGAAGTTGAGTGGTAAGTTTTAACTTATCAATTCCAACTCATGTCACTCCACTCACACCCAGCAAGATTCCTAGTAACAGTGGGTGAGGTGGGGGGTGCTGGTGGAGGGCTTTTCTGTCTTGGGGGGGGTTGCCAGTGGGAGGCTTTTGTCTTTGAAAATAGTGACTAAACACTTTTAGCGCTGCTGGACATCTGAGTGTCATGAAATTTGTAATTGACTCCGAAGACCACAGCCGGGAGGAAACAGGCCAGGGGAAGGAGGGGGGCTTGTCACAAATCACACTGCAGACTTACTGACACCTGGTTCATGGTCTCTCTGCTACTGTTTCCTCGTCCCCCGCCCTCCGTCTCTGCTAAGATTAAGACACCCTCTGTCAAAGCACCTCAACCAATCCACGGGGGTGGCCTTCCCGTGAAAAGATGGGGATGAGACTTGGAAGAGGAGCGACGAGTGTGAGCCAGAGCTGGCTCCTTCCCGTATTCCTATTTCCAACCTTTCTGGGAAGGGCTTTTCCCTCTTTTTAAGCAAAAGTGTTTGTTGTGCAGCATTGTCCCACACACCAAAAGATGGCAAGTTCGATCCTTGGTCAGGGCCCATACCTAGGTTTCGGGTTTGATCCCTGGTTGGGGTGTGCCCTCTCTAGCGCTCCCTTCCTCTCTGTTGGTTTTTAATCAATTAAAAAACTACAATTATCCTTAGGTGAGGATTTTAAAAAATGTGTTTGGCCCCGGCCAGTGTTTCTCAGTGAATAGAGCACCAAAGGGTTGCAGGTTCAATTTCTGGTCAAGGGCACGTACCTGGATTACAGGTTCAGTCCCAGACCTCACATCAATGTCTATCTCTTTCCCTCTCCCTTGCCCCCCCACACCGCCCTCCCTCCCTCTCACTCTCCCTAAAAAAAAAAAAAAAAAAAAAAAAAAAAGTGTTAAAATAAAAGAACTCTTCCTTGCATTAAATGAAGTTGAGAAAAGTGTCTAGTCACTTGAATTCTGTAGGAGCCTTCTCTATCATTTGGTCATTTTTTCATAATATTAATGATTCTGATAGTAGACGGGGTTGTAATGGTTCACGCCTGTTTGGGCAGGTACATTACAACCTGTCCTTAGCCTGGATATGTTTTACTAATAAAGTAAGCGAAGATACTAAATTTTCACTGAAGCAGTGTAGATCCCCTTTCTGGAAGACTTGGATCAAGTGGGAGTGTGAACCTGAATTAGGTGCCAACGCTTGGTTTCAAATTGGATAGTTCTATTCCCGTATTTGCTTTAGCTCATTTGTTAGTGCTAAGCAAACACCTGTTGGTTTTTCCACCAAGGTTTTTGCTCTGTTCCAACTACCTAAACCTGGTAGGCTAGTACATTCTGTGGTGTTGGTTTTATTAAAGGGATTGATGGGGTTTTGACAGGGATTTTGCTCTTTGTCTCCACTGCGGCATATCCTGTGGCATTCTTTGCTGCCTAGCCAAGCTCTGCCAGCCGATGTGGTTTCTCTGAGATGTGTTTGCCAGTAGCTTTTAGGTCTAGCTTAAAACAGAGGCCTGGGTTTTGTCGAGTTCCAGTCTTTTCTCATTAAGTTCTGTTACGTGCCTGCTGGTGTGTCACCCTCTGCCCAGTGGTGAGGGGGTACACAGACCTGCACCACCACTGCTCCTTAGAAACTGAAAGTCGGCTTGGCACGCTGCCCCTGTGAGGATGCTGTGGATTAGTGACTTTCCAAACATCTTGCTACTGCTATTTTATGTCTTCTTTCTGAGATAGGTTATAAGTACATAGACCTAATTCTGTGTGAATATGTGGATATGCTTTATGTTAAAGTGTTTTTACAGAAACAGTGGCATGGCATGGCGGTGTGGCTCAGTGGTTGAATGTTGACCTATGAACCAGGAGGTCATAGTTTGATTCCCAGACAGGGCACATGCCAGAGTTGTGGGCTCAATCCCCAGTAGGGCATATGCAAGAGACAGCTGATTAATGATTCTCTCCCTCTCCCTTCCTCTCAAAAAATCATTTTTTTTAAATTAAAACAAACAAAAATGGTGGCATGTCCTGGCCAGGTAGTTCAGTAGTCCTGTACACCAAAAGGTTGCAAGTTCAATTCCAGGTCAGGGTGAGTACAGGAGGCAACCGACCAGTCCTCTGTCCTCTGTTAATATTAATTCTCTTTCTTTTAATAGGTAAGTTCAGTCCATTTACATTTACTGTAATGATTAATGTACTTGGCTTTACTTCTATTTTTAATATTTTCTTTAAAATTTTTCACTCTAAGGACTGTACATGCTTTGAAACGTGTACATGTGTATATTCTGTTAATTTGGAAAGCTTATCCTTTCATCTTAGTATTTATATCTATAACTTTATACCATATTTCTTCAGACATATCTATAGACTCCTCTCTACCAGGAGCAGTGATAAAATTAGTAGTTGTATTTCCTATCCCCTTCTCACCTGTTTTTATTTGGCTATGTTATTTTTCTTAGGTTTATTTTATATCTTAGAACATACTTTTGTCTCTATTACTTGAATTATTAGTCTTCAATATCTTTTGAGACTTTTCAGTAAAAGATGAGGAAATCAGTGTACATACTTATTCTTCTACTTTTACTTCTGTCCCACTTTATGGAATAGAGTAATATTCCATTGTATATATGTACCATAACTTTTTTATCCACTCATCTATTGATGGGCACTTAGGTTACTTTCATTTCTTGTCTATTGTAAATAATGCTGCAATGCATATATCTTTTGTATATTTTTTTCTATTGATTTTTAGAGAGAGTGGAAGGGGGGGGGAGAGAGAGAGAGAGAGAGAGAGAGAGAGAGAGAGAGAGAGAGAGAGAGAGGAAGATACATCAATTGGTTGCCTCCTGCACATGCCTCAACCAGGGCCAGGGATTGAACCTGCATCCCAGGTACATGCCTTTGACCGGGAATCGAACCCAAGACCCTTTGGTGCATGGGCCAACACTCTATCACTGAGTCACACTGGTATATCTTTTTGAATTAATGTTTTGGGTTTCTTCAGATATATACCCAGAAGTAGAATCACTGGGTCCTAAGGCAGTTCCATTTTTAATTTATTGAGGAAACTCCATACTGTTTCCCACAGTAGCTGTACCAATCTGCATTCCCACCAGCAATGCACTAGGGTTCCCTTTTCTCCACATCCTCGACAGCACTTGTCATTTGTTGATTTGTTGATGGTTGCCATTTGACAAGTGTGAGGTGATACCCCATTGTTGTTTCAGTTTGCATTTCTCTGATGATCAGTGATTTTGAGCATTTTTTTTATATTTCTTGGTCATCTGTATGTCCTCTTTGGAGAAGTATTTTATTTAGGTCCTTTGCCCGTTTTTAATTGGATTGTTTGTCTTCCTGTTGTTAAATTGAAAGAACTTTTTTTTTTTTTTTTTTTTGAAGAGTTGGTTACTATCTTTTGGGGCTGGATTGGATATAGTTATTGGAGGTGACCTGTTTCTCTAAGTCCCTTCCAATTTTGTGATGCAGGTGACACCCAACATTTTTAGCATCCTGACAGCCTCTTTCTTTATTTTGCTTTTAGCATCCAGCCTGTGTATGGAGCACAGCACCCTCCTCTGGACCCTCGGCTCACCAAAAAGTAAGTCGAGTTGTTTTTCCTTTCATTTGAGTAATTCTTTCATCACCGCTAGCATTCCCCTACTTTGTTGAAATGACACTTTTCACTTTGGCCTTTTCTAACTTCTCTGCTCTCTTTTGGATCGGAAGATGAATAATTTTACCTCTAAACATCTGTTATTAAGTGGGAAATTAACTCACTTAAAAGATTTATTTTCTACATTGGTAGTAGACATATAGGATGTCCCAAAATGTATACATACACTTTGAATAATGATAAAGGCAGTGTTTATTAAAATACATTTATGACCATAACTATGGACACAGATGGAGGGTGGGGTGGGGTGGGGTGAGAGCATGTGCTGAGGGTTGGGGGCAGCTGGGAGAGGTCAATGGGGGGAAAAGGAGACTTACATAATACATTAAACAATAAAGAATTTAAATTAAAAAATACATTTCATTTTCAAAATTGAGCTATCAGCTATTAAAGTGTGTATACATTTCTTTGAGACGCCCTACGTAGGATTTGATGTTGGATTCTCTATTTTGGTGAAAAGGTTTTTATTGATTAACTATTGTCCTGAAATTGGATGATTGAGGACCTCCTTCAAGCGAGAGATCTGGTTTGTGGGGCTCCTGGCTTCTGAACATAGATAGGTCGGCCTTTTGTGCACTCGTACCCTGAGAATTAGGGCTCAAAGAATGTACGTAACTCTAGGGCTGGCTTTCTTCTCATCCTCTTTCTGTTTGACACATTCAAGGAAACCCAGCCGCCATACAATAGAACTAAAAGCTCCCTAGAAACTATTTCTGTAGTAAATTCTAATAAAGTATTTTCAAACACAATAGAGACCCTAGCTAAATACAAGATGTATGGATGTGTATCCATGCCTCTAAATATCACTTTATCACAACTTTCTCTAATGGGCCAACTCAGTCACAATGAGGAGATGGGTCATCTTCTCAGATTTTCTAAGAACTTTGCCCTCTATCTTTGAGTATAAAGGTGGTACCTTTATACTAAATATTAGTTTAAATATTATTTTCATTAAGTATAAATATTAATTTGTACTAAAAGCTGAGAGCTGCAGGAGACCTAGGTTCTCATCCTCCTAGGGCCTGTGAAATAATATCCACCCTTTCTTCCTTCACAGTCAATGGGGAAGTAAAGATAATGTACATTACAGTATTTTGAATACCTAAAAAAGTGCTATATCAACTATATATTACTAATATTTTATTTTTTTTATTGATTTTCTAGAGAGAGAAAGGGAGAGTGAGAGAGAGGGAGAGAAAGAAACATCAATGTGAGAGAAAAACATCATAGATTCTGCAATCTGGCTGTGTGCTCTTATCGGGAATCGAACCAGTCACCTTTTGGTGTATGGGATGATGCTCCAACCAACCGAACCACAATGTCCAGGGCTACGTTTCTAATATTTTAATATTTTAAAAATAACTTAGTGTAATGTATGGTGAACTTTCTGTAATCCAACCGCGTCATGTTTGTTTGTTTGTTTTGTTTTGTTTTGTTTTGTTTTTGCAATTTGACCGTATATAGAAGTACAGTCTTACTTTGGAAGTATGACTGCTGTTATTTTCTATAAGACTTTATATCAGAAACCACTAGACTGTAAGCTCTTTGAGGGCAGAGGCTTTGTTTTGTTCACCACTTTACTCTTTGGACCGGGAGCAGTATGTAGCACATAGTAGGCACTGAGTAGACATTTATGGAATGAAAGAATGTAATTCTTCACTTAGATAGTAGACTTTTCTTTCATGTTTCTTAGTGTGTACCTTGTATTAGCTCTAAGGAGAGCATATTTTCTGTGATATTTCCATTAAGTAGAATGAATTCTATTTCCTGGTTTTACCAACAACAGACTACCTGGTCTTTGGCTAGTAAAGCAGGAGCTGGATTACCTACCCAACAGTCTCTCCTGGCCCTGCTTTTTTAAGAACCATAATTTTATTCAGCTATTAATAAGATGACAGTATACCTAGAGCAGGTATCTGGATTAGTTTACATCTTTTACAGTAATTTCTGGTAATCCCAATAACTGGCCTATGGTGGCCTCATCTCATGGACTTTGGCCAAGGAGACATAAGAAAGTCTCCTGAGGGAGAGTTCTTGGGAAGATTTCTTTTGATCAAGAAAGAGATTATTTTGTGAAGAAAGCCTCTTTTGCCTCTGCTCACATTTCCTGCTTTTGAATGTGGTAGTGTGAAACTAAGATGCAGACACTATTTGTAACCAGAGGGAAAGAGCAAGAGAATTGCAGAGACACCAGCCAGCCCTGACATTGTGATCTTTATCACTTAAGCATCATAGTTGAGAATTCAGTTCCTTGCAGCCAGTTTTGTTCACAGCCAGGATTTGTTGATTAGTAATAGATCCATTCCAGTATGTTTTATTTTATTATTTAAAAAATATATTTATTGATTTCAGAGAAGAAGGAAGAGGGAGAGAGATAGAAACATCAATGACGACAGAGAATCATAGATTGGTTGCCTTCTGCATCCTTCACACTGGGGATCAAGCCTACACTGGGGGTATGCCCTGACTGGGAATTGAACTGTGATCTTCTGGTTCATAGTTTGACACTCAACCACTGAGCCACACTGGCCAAGCCCAGCATCTACCTAATAAGAGAGTAACATGCTAATTAACCATACCTTTGTGACACGCACCAGCCAATCAGGAGTGGTTATGCAAATTAACCCAACAAAGATGGTGGGTTAATTTGCATATGCAGGCATTGAGCAGCCAGGGGTGGGGCGGGATGCTTGTGTCATAAATCTGTCTATCTATCCATACATAAGGCAGTGGAGTGTACTATCCCACTTTATGCTTGGATTAAAGTCACCATACCTTGTCTGTACCAGTCATCAACTGTGTTTTCTCTGATTCTATACTTAAGACAGGTCTTGAGTAGTATCACCATATCCCAAACTGCTAGGACCAGTTTTATATACTCTTGTCTTCTACCTGTTAGTGATATAAAACCATGAATGTTTTAACTCAGTGGTTAGCAAACTCATTAGTCAACAGAGCCAAAAATCAATAATACAACGATTGAAATTTCTTTTGAGAGCCAAATTTTTTAAACTTAAACTTCTTCTAACACCACTTCTTCAAAATAGATTCGCCCAGACCATGGCATTTTGTGGAAGAGCCACAGTCAAAGGGCCAAGGAGCCACATGTGGCTCACGAGCCACAGTTTGCAGACCACTGTTTTAACTGATCAGCAGAGTTGCATTCATACTTTCAATAGAGGTAATCACATAGCTCTGCAATTTGGAAGGAATATAATTGTCACTAAATAAATTGTGTCTCCTTTTCACTCACGTGGTGGTTTGGTATTAATAGCCTACAACCTGGAAAACACCTATGTTTGGATCATTTTACAATTCCAGATTATTATAAAACATTAATTGTCCTTATTTTAGTACCTTTGTTGGGACATTTTTATTACTTTTCCCACTATATGGCTATTGTTCCACTTCAGACTGCCGTTAATTGCTAGGTGGTTAATTGCCATCACAGCAGAAATCTTTACATTGGGTCTTCAATCAACCAAACTGCATGAGCAAGTAACATTCCCGTCTGTGTGTATTGACTTCAATTTGCCAAACTATTACCAATAGTGATAATATTGCCTACAATAATTTTTATAGCTCATATAAAATTACTCTTATTGCAGAGTGGCCCCTTTGGCCAATTGATGGCATGACAGGCTTCTAAATTTATTGTTCTCTGACTTGATACCGTTGTTCCTAGTATAAGGCTGGTTCACACGGAGCCACACTAGCTATTGTGATAACTGGATTCATTTGATTGTTAGTAAATCCCCAATTGCTTCACATCCCTTACCAATGTCAAACATTATTTTTCTAAACAAATCTGTATCATTTCTATTGCGTGAATAGCCATATCAGTAAAACAGTATAGTATTAGACAAATTACAGAATAATTGAACTTTTGTTTCCTAACCAGTATAACCTGTAGCCACTCCTTTTCAAAATATCTGTAGGTGTCTCTGTGTTAACACTGAAGAAGTTACTCTTCACCAGATGACTGCATTTCTCTTAAATGTGCCATTTATTATGTTTTTTGTGTGTTTTAGTTTTACCCGCACTTCTTGAATTGCTTTTTCTTTACCACTTATAGCTCCATTATCTTGGGCAAATAACTTGGAGCCTTAGTTTCCTCACCCATAAAACAGAAATATAAGACTCAGCTCACAGAGTTGTGAGGATTAAATGAGTATCTGTGAAAATGCTTTTTAAACTGTAGTTTGGCAGATTGTGAGGCTGTATGATGAAGACGACTATCTGAGACCAGTTCAGTTGTAACTTGGATGTACTTCTGTTTAAATAATCCTGGTTAAACTTTAAGACACACTGTGGCATTATTATACCTTGACTAGGTATAACTTAGTTGTGATCATGTTAAAATGAGACCCCCAAGCTAGAATTGTTGGTTTTTTACTGGGACTGCTGGAGTTCAAGGGAAGAGAGACATTTCTCCTCCAATGACCATACCCCTAGAAGTGACTGCTATCCATTCTGGCTACTGACATGCACAGTCTGTTTAGTCATTCCTACCAGACGAGAGCGAGGGCTATCAGCGTGCACACTGGGAGCTATGATAGCTATGCTGTTATGTGCTCAGCTTGTGTGGCAACTCCTCTTCCCAGGCTGCAGGTCCCACTCGGCCTCAACTCTCTCCTCCCGCTCCATTTTTCTAGGTGGAGTAGGTCAAGAGCATGCAGGCTCTGCAGTGAGGTGGGCCTGGATTTGAGCCCAAACTTTGCTGCCCGCCCAGGACCTTAGTCAGCTTCAGTTTCCTTATCTGTAAACTAGAGGCCCGGTGCAGACAATCGTGTACTTAGGGTGGGGGTCCCTTAGTCCGGCCTGTGTCCTCTAAGCCGGCAGGCGGACATCCCTGAGGGTCCTGCCACTGCTGCTGCACTCACCAGCCATGAGCCTTAATAAGAAAATAGGCATGTGTAAATATTAGCCCAGAGCCTACCACCTAGTAAATATTGTAGCTCATAAATGTTAACCATTATGTGTGCATGAATTTATATTATCCCCTCTGGAGAGAACAAAATTAATGAACCTGGGAAATCTTCAAAACCTTAAATGTCTCCATCATTATTACTGGTCTGCAGTTTTCTGCTTTCTCTCGGTGGTACACCTGACGCCGTCATTCTCGCTCCTCTTTCACTCTGTCCTCAGACTCCCACCGCTCTAGCTGATACCAACCGCTGCCTCCTCAGAGGCCTCTGTCCTCAGGACAGAGCTGACTGTTTTAACTTGAGTTTTGGGTTTTGTGGGGTAGGTAGACCTAAAGTAATTTCTAGCAGCCTCAAAATGGTCTGCTTTGAATCTCTCGTCTTTCTCACAGGTAATGGCAGCCCTTCTCTTTGTTGTGTGTGAATAAGTCCTTTCTATTTCGATTTGCAAAGCCTTTACTAGTATTTGTATAAATTCTAAATTTTAAGCTAGTTCATTTGTATTGAATCTTCACCTGCTTCAAAAAATATAATGAAATATTTTAAATGTATAAAAAGGTATAAAGGAAAATATAGCAAAATATGTGCATGTTCCCAGCACTCAGCTAATTTACCTCCTTCGTTTGTAGAGGAAGCTCAGTGTCTGTTAGAACCTGACCCTCAGCACGGCCCATCTCTGGGTGTAGATTGTAATCTAGTCCAAGTGTGCATCTGCTTCACCCAAGGTTAGACTTTAGCATCCAGTCAGTTGTTTGACTGAGTTAAAATTCAGCTTCTTAAATCAATGTTTTTTTGTTTTTTTTTAAGAATTCTCAAAATATCAAGAGGTTTTAGGAAACACCAAACAGAAAGGAAAACAGTAGTTAGTTAACCTTGCGATCCCGAGTGCTCCATATCACACTGTCGGATCTGTTATGTGCAATCATAAGGTACACTTAACCACCAAGGAGGAAAGTAGCAATAATAACCTCGTGCTCCTATACAGTGTTTTATTGGTGACAGGACTTTCTTACACATCTGCCCATTGTTCCTGACAGTGGAGCCTCTGTGGTGTGTACTGCAGGTTGTGGCTCCTGGACCCTTTTACAGAGGAGAAGCAGCCGTGATGATGAGGCTGGAGCAGGCAGCCTCAGAAGGTCTGCAGGGGAATCATTTGCCTTCTGGGTCAAGTGGATTTAAAAAACAAAATTGTTTTTTGTAGTCCTCCCTCGAGGATCTGTTTTCATTGATTTGAGAGAGACTCATCAATGTGAGAGGAAAACATGGATATAAGAGAGAATTATCGATCGGTTGCCTCCCTTACAACCCCAGCCAGAGATCGAATCTGAAACCTAGGTACGTGCCCTGACTGGGAATAGAACCTGCAACCTTTGGAGTATGGAACAAAGCTCCAACCAACTGAGCCACTGGCCAGGGCTCCCGTGGATTTTTGACATGCAGGTATTTGCACTGCAATGCCTCAATTTTATCTTCTTTGATTTGGACTCTAGTACATTTCCACTTATTCATTCAGTAGGTTTATAAGTATTATTACTTTGGGGGTTGATGAAAACCAACAAAACATTTATTTCCCACTGAATAATAAAAATTATATGCTCAGTTTAAAAAACATGAATAATTCAGAGGAGTATAAGCACTCAGTGTTAGCATTTTGATATGTTTTCTTCCTGGTCTTCTTCTTCTTCTTTTTTTTTTTTTTTTTTTTTTTTTTTTTTTTAATAAAGAGACCATTAAAATATATAATTTTGGCTCCAATTTTTACTTTCTTTAGATTGTTTTCAAGATATGATTTTCACTGGCAGTATACATTCCATCTGGTGATTGCAACCATATTTCATCACAAGAGGCCCGGTGCACAAAATTCGGGCATGGGGGTCCCTCATCTCAACCTGCACCCTCTACAATCCAGGAGCTCTCAGGGGATGTCCTGCTGATGGCTCAGGCCCACTCCCGTGGTTCTCTGCTCTCTGTGGGGCGTGGAGGTTTTGCTACAGCCATAGAGATGAAGCTCCATGCCCTGCTGTCCGCTCTCTGCCTCAACATGCGCCATGCGAAGGAAGCCCCAGTGCCCTGCAGTGTATTCTGTCTGCCAGGCCTGGGGGCTTCACTGATACTGACACACTAAGGAAGCCCCCACGCCCTGCTGTCCGGGTTCTGTCTGCTGGGCCTGGGGGTGTTCCCGCCGCCTCTGTGCTAAGGATGCCCCCAAGCCCTGCTGTCCAGTCTCTGTCTGCAGTGTCTGGGGCAGATCCACAGGAACCCCTGCGGGGCTGAGGGGCCTAGATGCTGCAGCACTGGTGGAGTTGAAAGGCTGGATCTCCCCCTCAGGCGGACAGGCCTAGAGACTCCAGCAGCGGGGCTGAGGGTCCTGGGCGCCACCATCTTGTGGCCATGGGGACCACCATTTTTGTCTCGGAGTGATGGTAAATTTGTATTTTACTTTTTTATTAGATTATTAGATAGGATTTCCAATTTCTAGATATTTGTTATTTGCAGTTTTTAACCAAAATAAATAATAAATAATACCCCCCTGGCCAGGTGGCTCAGTTGGTTGGATAGTAGTCCCATAACCAAAAAGTTTGCAGTTTTGATCCCCTATTTGAGGCAACCAATTGATGTTACTCTATCACATCAATGTTTCTCTCTCTCCCTCTCCCTCTCCCTTCCCTCTCCCTTTCCCCCCTCCTCTCTCTCTAAAATCAATAAACATATCCTTAGGTAAGGATTAAATCAATAACACCATTATAAACTGTTTTAGGTCATTTTTGTTTGACTTCTGATTGTATTTTTATGATTAGAGATGGACCATTTTAAGGTTCATGGTGTATATGTTCCCAGATTGTTTTCCAGAAAGTTGTACAATATATACCTCTACCTGCAATGTTAGAGACCTGGTCTCACTACACTCTGGTTAGCTGAAGAGAATACATTTTTAGATGTTTGCTAAGTTAGTGGGTAGAAAATGGTATCTTGTTTTTATCACATTTGAGCTGTTACATCTTATAATGTTGTGTTCTCTCTTGCATTCATGTGATGTATTTTCTTTTACTCCATGTGAGATAATGCCTCAGTGATATCTTACTCCTTCCTTGGTGTTAGTAACAGGGACATTCCTATAAATTATATGAGTTTACTAGTCTTATTTATCAATGTTAATAACAATTATCTTTCAGAATAAATATTGGACTCATCTAGGGAGATGGAATGGGTTATTAGACCACCCACCTCTACCCAAGGAAGAAACATCTCCTGGAAATGGGGGACTTCTGCTCCTCTGGCCCAGGGTTTCACACTTTCCCTGCCTTCCTGGGGAAAGCAGGGAGACTTTTTAATGTTTTACCCATTGCTTTCCAGCCCCCTGGTGGAAACTTGCAGAAGGCCATACTCTGTTTCCCTATTTGGGGTATGAGGGACGCTAAGTAAGACTGAGTTAGAAATGTCCCAACCACAGTGCCCTGGGACTGGAATAAGGGCACCCGGACCTTAAGCAGGAGACAGAGGAAACGCTCAGGGAAGGAAGGAGATTCTACGTGCCTCTTAGGGCTAGGCTCTTTTCTCAATGAGTTCATCTAGTGTTCCCCAAATTGTGATTTTTTTAAACCATTTTCTATCTTACTATTTACATTAAAACACTTGTTTTATTTACATAATTAGATTTATTTTTTCAAAATCTTATCATTACTATAAGTGGAAAACCTATACCGTTTTAAAAAAAAAAAAAATTAAAAATAAGTAGTGAAAATTAGCCCAGCCATGTGTGATATTAGTGTTTGAGTGTCAGCCTATGAACCAGAAGATCACAGCTCGATTCCCTTTTGGGGCACATGCCTGGGTTTCAGGCTTTCTCTCCAGTGGGGGGCATGCAGGAAGCAGACATTCAATGATTCTCTCTCATCGATGTTTCTGTTTCTTTCTCCCTCTCCCTTCTTCTCTGAAATCAATAAAAATATATTTGTTAAAAAAAAAAAACTAAAATAATCTTAATTCAATTATAAGCCAGGTTCTATTGCTTTACAAATATGTCAGTTCTGACACTGCCCTCTGTTTAAAAAAAAAAAAAAGTGTTATAGACAGACTAGGACCAAACTGAGACCATCTCCTCACTGCTAGCAGATGGACTTTAACAGAATAAAAAAGGACCACATGTTCATTTTGGAACTCAATGGTTAATGCTATTTATGGTCTACCTAAAGTTACCTCTCTTATTCTAGCAATAGTTTATGTCCTACTCTAAGGAGTAGTAAGGTTATATTGCCATTAACAGGTTAAGTCTAAAATTTCGGTGGGTTGACACACAAAGTTTAATGGATTAGGTGGGAGTGGAGGGCAGGCTGGGCTTCAGTACTCACGCTGTTGTCCAGCCTAAGGGAGGCGCCGCCATCCGGAGCCTCCTCAGTTACTGTGGTAAAAGAAAGTTTATGGAGAACTCACACCTGTTCTTTTATGCTTGGGCTTAGAAATGATCTGCTCACTTCTCTCCTCAGCCCATGTGGCCTCACCTAAGTGGCAGGGGACTGGAAAGTATAGAGGAGCACATGGAATAGCTGGTGAGCATTGCTGTCTTACTACCTCTGCTGCAGCATTGGGCTGGTCTAGATGCATCTAGATGAGGAATGGATATGGGTGTTTTTTGTTTGAAGAAGGTATTGATTGTGTATGGGATTTCTTGTAAAGCTATTAGTAGTACCTTAAGCAAGTGGTGAGATGTGCCAGACCATTCCTTCGTAATAGTGTCTCCTTTCTTAAAGCTTCATTAAAGAACGGTCAAAGGTCAACGCAGTTCCTCTGAAGAATAAGAAGGCCTCCAGTTTCCATGAGTTTGCCCGGAACACCAGTGATGCGTGGGACATTGGTGATGATGAGGAAGAGGACTTTTCCCCCCCTTCTTTCCAAACTCTGAACTCAAAAGTTGCTTTGGCAACTGCCGCTCAAGTCCTAGAAAACCACAGCAAGCTGAGGGTGAAACCAGAACGGTCCCAGTCAACAACATCCGACATTCCTGCCAACTACGTCATAAAGTCCAGCAGTGATGCCCAACTGTCCAGAAACTCCAGTAAGTCCATTCTGCTCACCTCCATAGCCTCGACGTTTTTAGCAGAGTGCATTTAAAATAAAAGCATTTTTTCTTTAGGGCATCACTCAGATTTTCCATTGGATAGTAAATAAGCAAGCTCAAGCCTAAGGTATGACATCAGTGAGCCTAACTGGTCATAAGTTGTACTTGCTCCTCCCACCTGGGTGGCTTCCTGGCCCTGTGTCCGGAGGCTTCACTTCCTGACACACAGGTGTTGCCTGCCAATCTCTTCTTTCTTTCCTGCGCTGGGGTCCAAAACTTTGATTGCTTCACATTGCTTTAGTCCTGGCTAGATTGAAGAATGTTGACTAATGTATTTAAGGTTTGGTGCTATTGGTGGGCCTCCTCAGGGTGGGGAGCAGCCACCAGCATAGGTTGTCTCTCTTGTTCCTGAAGGCCCTGTGTCCCAGCTGCCTGCCCATCTGGGAGGGGGCAGGAGGAGATGCCCCTCTGTGTCTCTTCAGGAGGCTTCAGCAGCTGGTTGAGGTGATGTGGCTTTACCAGATATTGGGAGATTCTCAGTGTGCTCTTACTTATTGTTAATCATCACCCTAAGGTATTTTCCCATTGATTTTTAGAGAATGGGAGGGCAGGGAAGAGACAGAGAGAGAGAGAGAGAGAAACATTGAAGTGAGAGAGACACATCAATTGGTTGCCTCCCACACTCGCCCCAACGGGGAATCGAGCCTGCAACCGAGGTTCATGCCCTTGTCTGGAATCCAACCCGAGACCCTTCAGTCCTCTGGCTGACACTATACCCACTGAGCCAAAACGGCTGGGGTTATTCTGAGAGAGAGGGAAGTGCTGTCATTTTAGAGAAAGTTAAAACAGCTGACTGGTAAAGGGGGAAAGGAAGTAGAAAAATGCTGAGCCCTGGAGCATGTCCTGGCTCAGGTCCTAAGAGAACTTCTTTCACAGTTTCAGATTAAGCATGTGGTCATGAATTGGCCTGGAAGGCCTTTAAAATCATTCCCCACACACTCTCCGTAGCTGTTCTGGGCCCCAGCGTGGACCTTCGGTGCCAGGTGCAGGCGGGCATTTAGTGTTGGTGCCCAGGGGCCACAGCTGCAGACAGTGTCTGTGCACCATGGTTGAAGTGCCCTAGTGTGAGGAAGAGCCCTCCATGATCCCTAATGAGCTGCTACCTTTGTGCAGCCAGGACACCCGAGGGCCTTCCTTTATGAATCTAGCATCTGTCGGTCAGTTGCTGCTGCCAGATGTGCACATGGGCCTCAGCGCTGCGACGTGAGCCAAGTACCTGCAGCCCTTGTTTCTATAAACCTGATGGTTGTGCTGGTGTCACTCTTCACTGGTAATTCTTATTGTGACTTAAGTTTATAAGGCCCTGATATAGAAAGAATGTGAAACGTCATGCAAGCTCAGCCAGAGTTTAAACCTGAGTTTTGTTTGGGATGGTAAAATAAATAAGGGTTTTGGAAAGATCGAGGAGGCCTCTCAGCTCTCCCTTGTAAATTACTTACCCTCTCTTAGCTGCAGTTTCCTCATCTGAGGCTTAGTAATAAATTAATCAATTCCCACTGTATGTTGTAAGGATCAAAGGAGAGATATGAATAGTAAACACTCAATAATGTTTGTCCTATACTGCTTGTTTCTCCCACCTTACCGTCTGGGGTAGAAATGTCTAGGACCATTGTCAATGTCTAGAGTTCAGCTAGAGTCTGCTCTTGCCATTTTAGTCAGATCCCAGCAGAATTAAACGCTGGGAGACATGTGCAGCAGGGAGGAACTGCAGCTACCGAAAGTGTGATTGCTTTCGGCCAGAGTGTCTCCCCCATGCCGGGCACATGGTGCGCCAGGAAAGGGCGAGAGTTGGGCCAGGGACCCCGGGGCAGCGGCGTGGGGCTGGGCTTCAGGAGAGCCACCTCGCATGGCAGTGTGCTGTACGGTGTGCTCGTTTCCTGTGTGCTCTGTGATGTGGAAAGGGAAGGTGAACTTGTATTGCCCCAAAACTTATCATTAGGCACCAAGAAGAGTCCCAGGTTGGGGAAGAAAGAAAACATTAGTTTGCCATCAGGGGTTGCCAAAAAAGTTCTCGAACTTGCTGCAGCATCCGAGTCTCCATTAGCACATAAGATGCCTTGTACGTATGCACAATAAAAAACGCAGCCCATCCTCTGGCAGAAGAGTTGAGCACAGCTGGGTTTCCATCCCCCGTGCCCCTCAGCTGGGCACCTCGGGCGCACAAACTGTGCTGCTGAGGCTCGTGGAGGAGACCGTACTGAGCAGTTAGGTCACTCAGAGTCCGTGCTCTTCACACAGCCCGTCTCTTTCTCTTTCGAATTATCTCAGGTGATTCGTGCCTAAGGAATGCACTCCACAAACAGCAATCACTCCCAATCCGACCCATCATCCCCCTCGTTGCCCGGATCTCAGACCAGAATGCTTCTGGGGCACCCCCAATGACTGTCCGGGAGAAAACCCGCCTAGAAAAGTTCCGTCAGCTTCTCTCCAGCCACAACACTGACTTAGGTGAGTCCCCGTGAGCCCTGGGCAAGATAGGGCCTCTTGGTGACTGGGATTCTCAGAGCCCTGGAAGCTATTGCTCTTTATTCTTCCTTCTTTTACTTTTCCAGCATCTCCTGATCTGGTGCCCATTGCAGTGACATGCAGGTATTAAGTCAGAGTATGTTACTAGGAATTAGGGACCAAATTAGGTGGGACTGGATTCTGTGGCTTGTAGACCATAGTGCAATTATTCTGGCGTCGGGCTTTCCCACCTCACGGCGATTCTGTTGAAATCCACACTGGTCTTTCTCTTCCCCTCTAACCGCTGAGCCCAGACTGGATCCCTGTCATAGAGCGTGTCCTTGGCGCTTTGCTGCTCGGGCTGTTGTGGGCTTTCCCCTGGTGCTGTCAGTAGCTGGTGGTGGTGGTGATGGTGATGATCATCTTACTGGAATGGTGGGAGGCATCAGGCTGAGGTTTGCTTTAGGGCATTTGTGGGAAGAGTTCAATCCAAGGAGCTGTTATCTGTTTGCAGATGAACTGAGGAAGTGTAGCTGGCCAGGTGTTCCCAGGGAGGTTCGACCTATAACGTGGAGACTCTTGTCGGTGAGTTCTACCCCTTGTATAGAGAAGTGTGAGCCTCACACGGCCCTTCTCACCCCATGAGGTTAGTGTGGCCCATTAGACTTACTCCTCAGACTTCTCTAGTCCCTCTGGAGACGACAGGACTGTGGGGCTGCAGTCCAGTGTCTGTGCATGCAGAATGCAGACACATACTCCAGAGAGTTTATTTTAACACACACAGAAGAGCACACGTTGGTTACCACAGGCGCAATCTCACGTTCTCAGCACACGGGAGAAAGAAGAGAGATGCCTGGTTGTCCCAGCGCTTGCCCCAGGGCTTCGCTCCTTTTCCGGAGGAAAAACCACAGTGGTTGACACCCACTGTGCGACTGAGAAGAGCTGATGAAAGGGCCTCCCTGCCAGGCCTGCCTAGTCCCACTTTCACTGGGGGCAGAACACTGGCCAGCACTATAACAGGAGCACTTGGCTTTCCTGAGCCCCTAAAATTCCCTCATTCTTCTCGCAAGGATTTATTGAGGGCCTGCTGTTCACCAGGCACCGTGCCAGGTGCTGGGAGGGCATACAGAAATGAATCGGCCACAGTCCCTGCCTGCCAGGCAGTCTCCGTGGAATGTATTGCATGAGTGTCCGGGAGAGGAAGGGTCTCCCTCCTGGCTGCTCCCCACCCCTGTCCTGCAACCCTGAATCATTGCCTCTGCCATTTCTAACTAAGTTCAAGAGCTGTGAAGAATAGATTGGTGAGAACGGAAGGAGAGCAGGAGGTGTAATAATTGGGAGTGGGATCTAGACCAGAAATGAGAATGGAAGTTGGCCTGGAGCTTGGGCTAGGAGGGAGCTGCTGCCAGAAGCTCTGTGTCTGGACATTGCAGCTGCTATGTCACAGATTCCATTCAGCTTCCCCAGCTGGTGATTCCGAACGCTAACATGGAAAAGCATGGGTAACGGGCACATACTTACATGGCACATCGCTGAGATTTGCTTTAGACACGACCATCTTCCTATGATTCTCGGAAGTGTTGTCTTGTATACACATAGCCCTCAGAGGTCCTGACTTGGGTCCAGTTCCCCCGACTGACCTAGGAGCACTGCTCTCTGTGCTAGCTCTGCTCACCAGCAGTGCAAGCTCCAAGCCCTGCACAGGCTACAAGAGAAAATAATCCTGGGAACGCTGGCCTTGGCTCATCTGCCCACATCTGGGTCTCACTGGACGAGGGAAGGCAGACACGGTGGCCAAAACCAAAATGGGATCCACCCTTGTTTTCGTGGCAGTTTTCCATTTCTCTGATAGTTTCCAAGTCACTGTTCAGACTAAAATAAAAATTAAGGATTCCGCCAACCAGCATCTGTCCCCATCTGACTAGCTGTCCTGTCCACAGGGCTATCTCCCAGCCAACACCGAGAGGAGGAAGCTGACCCTGCAGAGGAAGCGGGAGGAATATTTTGGTTTCATTGAGCAGTATTACGACTCTCGCAATGAGGAACATCACCAGGACACCTACAGACAGGTATAGTTATCACCTTCTGCCCTTCACTTGCTAGTCATAAACTTCAGGTGTGTCTTCTGGGAGTGCTATTGGGGAACAGATTTCCCAAGCCTTCAGGCTATTGTGTGCTACTTAGGAATGACGTTTATTCCTGGGAGTATGCAGTGTAGGTATGGGGGCTCTGGGAAAAATTATTCCCAGAACTGCTTTCCCTTTTTCTAATTCAGTAGCTCTGGTTTTAATAATTTTAAATAGATCCCTCACCCCCACTCCCTCACTCTACCCCAGGCCAATGGCAGTGCCTCTTAAACTTTAATATGCATACAAATAACCTAGGATGTTGGTGAAATCCTACTTAGGGAATATGATAAAAATGTGCATTCTAGTTCAGTAAGTCTGGGGTGAGACCTTCACTTCTAATCAGCTCCCAGGTAAGGCCAGCGCTGCTGTTCACAGACCTCATGCCAGTAGTAAGGATTATGGGGCACAAGATGAAAGATGCGTTCACTCAGGAGTGGTCTAGTCCCCCTGGACAGTCCATTAGCGCCTGGTTAGCACCCATGCCTCTCTGTCTGTCTGTAGGAGTTGTTGCCCTCAGCAGCCTTGGCCAGGAGCGTTCCATTATTGCTCATAGTGGGCCCCATGCCTGTGGGAAGGTGGAGGGGGGAGAAGAGCAGTCTGGTGGTTGTAGAAGAGGGAAAAGATGCGGGAGGCAGCTGTCTGCAACGAGCCCTAAGAACTGAAGTACCCTCTGCCACTGCCAACACAGTCCTCACATTGTTATACTGGGCACCGGGGAGTCCGAGGCCCAAACCCACTGTAGTGCCCTCTTTGGAAACAGAAGTCAGAACTTTCGGTGCCAGTTCCTGAAGGTCAGCTCCCCCAGTTTCCCCCTCTTTTTCTGCATTGTGGCTTCAGGAGCAGGTCCTTCTTGGCTCCCTGTCCTGGCACATTTTTGCCGCTGTCAGAGCTCTTACCAGTAGTTCCTGGAAACTATTGGTGACTAAGATTTGGAAAGAAGGGTCCACATTTTGATCATAACTATTAAAGAAGTGAGACAGACTTCAGAGCAATAGGGAAAAGCGGGGCGTTCTCTCGGTGTGAAGCATGTTGCTATTTGTGTAAGTGGTTTTGGAGGAGTTTTCCTCACTGTTCAGTAAGCTGTTGCTATCATGGAAACGTATTTGAGATGGACAGGCTGGTTTAACTAGACTTTTTTTGGATGTCAGTTGGTTCTTACTAAAGAAACATTGTGCTCTCACTCTTACTCCCTTGCTACCCGTTCTTATAAGAAAATAACGTCCCAGAAAAATAAGGCGGCGTTTGTGTTGGCATGGCTCTCTTTTTCAGATCCACATTGACATCCCACGGACGAATCCTCTCATCCCATTGTTCCAGCAGCCACTTGTACAGGAGGTGAGGGAAGTACTGAATGCTCCCCGCCCTTCCCCCTCAGGTTCCTGCGGCCCTGTTCTGTGTGGATGGCGCTGGAGCCTTCCCCCTGACCACGGCAGGTGTACAGCTAACGCGGTGTACTGTGTGCAGATGTGGAGCTGTGGCCCTCAGCACTTCCTTATGCATTCTCATGCTCTCTTCCTAACAGACCCTTGGGCCAACTAGTGCTGAGTTTAAGGGGCTTGCCCCCAGTCTTGAGGCTACCTGGTGACAGAATGAACTCTGGAGCCCACATCTTAGAATTCCTAGTCCGGTGTTTGTTCTGCTTTATCAAGCTGAGATAATGATTTTGATTTTTCTTATTGTTGTAAATATACGTAACAAAACAACCATCATCACCATCCATCTCTAGAACTTTTTATTTTCCCAAACTGAAACTGTCCCCATCTATCCTATCCTATATAATAAAAGGCTAATATGCAAATTGACCAAATGGTGGAAGGACCGGTCACTATGTGTGCACTGACCACCAGGGGGCAGACACTCAATGCAGGAGCTGTCACCTCGTGGTCAGTGCACTCTCACAAGAGCGCTGCTCAGCCAGAAGCCCTGAGCCGGGCTCACAGCTGGCGAGCACAGCCACAGTGGTGGGAGCCTCTCCTGCCTCTGTGGCAGCGCTAAGAGCGTCCAACTGCCTGCTTAGGCCCGCTCCCTGTGGGCCTGGCCTGCGGATGTCGGCCGAAACTGGCAGTTTGACATCCCCCAAGGGGTCCCAGATTGCGAGAGGATGCAGGCCAGGCTGAGGGACCCCGCTGGTGCACGAATCCATGCACCAGGCCTCTTGTTAAACAATAACTAACTGTATTCCCCAGCAGCCACCATTCTACTTTCTTTCTCCATGAATTTGACTTTCAGTACCTGTAATAAGTGAGTTCATACAATATTTGTTCTTTGGTGTCTAGCTTATTTCACTTCAAATAATAACTTCAAGGTTCATCCATATTATAGCATGTGCCAGAACTTCCTTCCTTTTTAAGGATGAATATTTAATTACATGTATATAACATATATTTTTGATCTATTCATCTACAGTGAACAGTTCATAATGCTGCTATGAACATGGGCAGGCAAAATATCTGAGTCCCTGTTTCCATTTTTTTTTTTTTAATCCTCATTCCAGAAAATTTTTTCCATTATTTTTTTTTAGAGAGTGGAGGAAAGGGAGAAACAAAGAAATATTGATGTGAGAGAGACACAGCAATTGTTTGTCTCTCACATGTGGCCCAACCAGGGCCAAGGATTGAACCTGCAACTGAGGTCTGTGCCCTTGACCAGGAATTGAACCCACAACCTTTTTGGTCTGTGGGTCAACACTCTAAACCAGCCAGGACCTGTTTTATACTCTTTTGGATATGTTGTACCCAGAAGTCTCTACTGGGGGAACCCCCATGACTTGCCAATAGCATCAAGAAGATTTGAGGTTGACACCATTATTTTACCTATAAGAGCTAAGAGGAAGCTAAAAACCCATTCAGGATCCCTCTGTGTCTCCTGTACAGTTTCTTACAAATCAGCTCTGCTCATTCTTCATTTTAACTTGGGGACGTTCAGATACTTCTACCTGTGCATGTTTACTCTAAACTTGGAGACAGGGAAAGTAGCTTATAAAAAAGGCTTATCCTTATAGTGGAACCTGAATACAAAGAAAGAAAAATCAAACTAGTCTTTTCAACTTTTCTCAAATCACCTTTCTGTCTAGCAGGCTTTAGTCCTGTTTTTTCTTTTCTTTTTAATATGTTTTTGTTGATTTCAGAAAGAGGAAGGGAGAGGGAGAGAGAGAAACATTAATGATGAGAGAGAATCATTTATCAACTGCTTCCTATACACCTCCTACTGAGGATGGAACCTGCATCCCAGGCATGTGCCCTGACTAGGAATCAAATTGTGACCTCCTGGTTTATGGGTTGACCCTTAACCACTGAGCCACACCAGAAAACAAATCCTCTTAAATAGAATAAACTGCTAACCAGGAGCAGAGAACTGAGAAACGCTGAATACTGAAAGACTTGCTTTGCAAACCTGAAAGGCTTGTCGGCATTAACTAAAATAAGTCAGAATTACCACACTGGTAGAAGAGATGTAGAAAAACCTTCAGGGATTACCCTCTCCTCTCACCTCTGCAAAACCAGGTCATCCCAGATTTGTTCCATAGTGAAAATGCCATGGTCTCCTGTGGTAACCAGAATACTGTTCAAATTCCACCTCTTTGACACCTTCACTAATTCAGGGTGAGTGTGTCTGCATTGTCCCATCCTTCCTGTAGAGGACTGGCCAGTGTTTAAGCCAGTCCCCAGGATCTGTGTATTCACAAGGGGCTGTAAGTGTGGAGTGCAGGCCTGGTTAGCCCTAAAGGACTGACCTGGAGGAGCTTTTAACAAAAACATCCAGACAGGCCACAGGAGCTGTGAGGAGACAGAGGGAACATGGCTAGTCTAGCTTGATCTACAGTTTCTAGGGTCATTTAGCAGCAGAGAGGAAAGAATGTAGATTGGCCCCCATTAGAGTGTTGGGTCTAACACAAATGAGGACACTTTGCCCTTCCCTCAGTCCCAGAGTGTAGGGCAGAGGCAGAGAGGCCAGCGCCTTCCACCCAGGGCCTGTTCTTACCCCTGGAAGTGCAGGGGTGTTGACAGAGAGAGTGTCTCAGCTCGGCCAGCTGGGAGGCAGGCTAAACACATGTCTATAGATTCCTGGTAGAAGAGATTTCTCCACTAGCTACCCCACTACAAACCATACAACCATTTCCTTTTAACCGTTCTCCCTGGGAGCTTTTTGTCCCTCTGCCTGGCCTCTGAGAGGGCCTCTTCAATTTGCCCCCAGAGCCGACTGTTTGGGGCTTTGCAAGCTCATGCGTCCCCTGTAGGCTCCTGTCCCTCTGTATGTCACCAACACTTCTGTGTGATTCATGGAGACACGGCCAGTCCATGTCAAGCCCAGGAGTTGTGGTCAGTGGGATGAAGCCAGGGAGCATTAGCAGGCTGAGAGAAGATGGGGAAAGCTCAGGGGGCCTGATGGAAGCAGAGGGGCGTGTAGCTGAGTGGGACAGGGCCAGACTCTGTGATGGGGCCATAAAGATCTCTTCTTTCTCCCCATCCTAAGCCTCTGGCCTCTTGTGGCTAACATGCTTCACCCCAGAGGCTTTTCCATGGAGGCTGTGGCTGATTTCTCTGTTCTCAGATTCCCAGCTGTAGGAATCCATAGAATTTTATTTATTTAACTCTCTATCCCTAGCAAATGTCTGGGATGCATCCTGATATATGAAGTGACTTCCTGCGTTTATCGTCTATCACTAGATCTTTTTCTGTCTCAGCAGGGGAGAAAGGAGAGGGCGGTAGAGAAGGTATTTCCTATCTACATCCTGAAATGACAAAAAGGAACTTAGACATTCTGAATAACGACATCCTGAACCAATAACATCATTGCAAACCTTTTTCTAAGCTGTTGGGTCACCACCCTCCCCGCTTCCCCAATTTAATATCATACTGACTAGATACTGAAAAGACAAAGGGCGAGAAGTATCCACCTCCACTTAAAAACAGTTAGTGTCTTAGAAACTTTATATTCCTATACTTCATTTTGTAGTATTTAAAATATTTTCCTGCCCTAACCAGTTTGGCTCGGTGGATAGAGCTTCAGCCTGCAGACTGAAAGGTCCCAGGTTCGATTCCGGTCAAGGGCATGTACCTTGGTTGCAGGCACATACCCAGTGGGGGGTGTGCAGGAGGCAGCTGATTGATGTTTCTCTTCATCGATGTTTCTAACTCTCTATCCCTCTCTCTTTCCTCTCTGTAAAAAATCAATAAAATATATATATTTTTTTAAATTAAAAAAAATAAAATATTTTCCTAAAAATTTTGCAGCAACTTTAAGATGAATTGTGAGATAGGTCAATGGAGGGAGGGAGTATATTCCCATGGTTTACAGTCATGTCTCTTTCTTTCCTAGATCTTCGAAAGAATTCTATTTATTTGGGCCATCCGGCACCCTGCCAGTGGGTATGTCCAGGGAATTAATGACCTGGTCACTCCGTTCTTTGTCGTCTTCCTCTCAGAACATGTGGGTAAGAAGCATGAGTACCAAGTTGAACAAGCTATTGTTCTTTCTCATCTTTGGTCTGTTTGTTCTCCCCGAGTGCAGCCAGTAGGCCTGTCTTGCTGAGAAAGGTCAGACTTTAGAATACACAGCTAAGCCTATTTTTTGTTGTTGTTAATCCTCACCCAAGTATATTTTTTTCATTGATTTTCAGAGAGAGTGGAAGGGAGGGGGAGAGAGAGAGACACATCGATGTGAAAGAGACACATCAATTGGTTACCTCCCACACATACCCCAACCGAGGCCAGAGATAAAACCTGCAACCGAGGTATGAGCCTTTGACAGGAATCAAACCCGGGTCCCTTCAGTTTGAGGGCTGATGCTAAAGCCACTGAGAAAACTGGCTAGGGTCACAGGTAAGCCTATTTTAATAGCAATAACAGCCTGAAATTTCTCTCTTAAAATGGTCGCAAATCTCACCTAAAAGACCTGCTTTGTCACAAGAATGACCAAATTGATATGTTCTGTCATAAACAGATGGTTTGATGATTTATGTGAAGACATTTTAGGATTATTTTGAAGTTGTTTGAAACATGCCCTCATCCAAGAAAGCTGGAATTTTAGATTGTATATAGACTTCCCACTTTGGCTCACATGATTCCCCCACCCCCACCCCCCCCGCCTCCATTCTCACCCGAGGATATTTTTCCCATTGATTTTTGAGAGAGAGTGGAAGAGAGAGGGAGAGACAGAGAAAGACACCTATGTGAGAGGAACATATCAATTGGTTGATTCCAGCATGCCCGGACCAGGGCCAGCAGCCTGCAACTGAGGCACATGCCCTTGACTGAAATCAAACCCGGGACCCTTCAATCCTCAGGCTGAGCCAAACCAGCTAGGACCACATGCTATTTTTCAGTGGCAGGATGTGGACATGTAGAGGGGAAAGGTTGTGGCACCAGAACCCAGCTCACATTGGAGGTAATGGAATGGACTGAGGCGAGCACCACACCTTGATTTCTTCTCTTCCTCCTCCACCTCTTACCCCACTGGATTCCTGTCACTTGGGTAGAGTGATTAGATGTCACGGTGACAGTGCAACCCAAGACTCCTCCCCTGGCCTAAATCAGGCACAAGTCTTGAAAGGATTTGAGGATGCTCCCCTTTTTTTGGTTTCCTTAACCACTTGTGCTTAGAGGTTCAAAGGAAAACCCATCTGTCATGGCTTGATGCTTTGTTCTTTTATTTTTTTTCCCCTTTTATTTTTTAAATTTTTATTTTTTTATTTTTTAATAAATATTTATTGTTCATATTATTACAAATGTTCCTCATTTTTCCCCCCCTCATTGCTCCCCTCCACCAGGTTCCCACTCCACCCTCTGCCCTTTCCCCACCCCCCATTGTCTTTATCCATAGGTGCATAGTTTATGTTCAGTCTCTTCCCACACTCCCCTTCCATACCTCTGATTCTATTATATTCACCAGTTAATTTGTTCATCAGATATTTTTAATTCTCTTGGTTTTTAGATTCACTTGTTAATAGTTATGTATTTCTTGTTCATAATATTTATCTTTATTTTCTTTCTTTTCCAAAAGAACCCCCTTTAGCAATTCATATAATTCTGGTTTGGCGGTGATGAACTCCTTTAGCTTTTTTTTTTTTAGTGAAGCTCTTTATCTGGCCTTTGATTCTGAGTGATAACTTTGCTGGGTAGATTATTTTTGGCTGTAGGTTCTTGCTATTCCACCTTGAATATTTCTTGCCATTCCCATCTGGCCTGCATGGTTTCTGTTGAGAAATCGCTGACAATCGTATGGGTGCTCCTTTAGAGGTAACTACCTGTTTCTCTCTTGCTGCTTTTAATATTCTCTCTTTGTCTTTTGCTCTTGGAATTTTAATTATGATGTGTCTTGGTGTGGTCCTCTTTGGATTCCTTTTGTTTGGGGTTCTGTGCGCTTCCTGGACTTGTAAGTCTAATTCTTTCACCAGGTGGGGTAAGTTTTCTGTCACTATTTCTTTCAGTATGTTTTCGGTATCTTGCTCTCTCTCATCTAATGGGATCCCCATAATTCTGATGTTGGTTCGCTTGAAGATGTCCAAGAGGTTTCTTACATTATCTTCAACTTTCTGGATTCTCTTGTCTTCTTGCTTCTGCGGAGGAGTGTCTTCTGGCTCTTTATGTTCCAAATCTTTGACTTGATTCTTGTGATCTTCCATTTTTAGGACTCTGTATAATATTTTTTATTTCAGACAATGTATTCTTTATTTCTTGTTGATCCCTTATTATTTCTTGTTGACCCCTTATTATTTCTACTTGATCCCTTTTCATATCCTCATAGGTCTCGTTTATATTATTGGCCTTTTCTAGGAAATTCTTGAAAAACCTTATAAGCGTGGTTTTGAACTCTATATCCAATCACTTTTTATCCTCCATTTCTTTTGTTTGTGATCTGTTTTCTTGTCTCGGCATTTTCGCAGCTTCCCTGAGTTGGTAGCCTTAAAAGTCTCTGTATTCAGCTTGGATGGGGCAGAGTTTCAGGGTGGAGCCTACAGCATTGGCTTCCGTCAGCCCCCTGTATGAGGCTCCTGAGTCTCAGTGTACCTCAGTGTCCTTCAGTACTTGCTGCAAGCACCTCTGAGAGAAAGGTGCCCTTGAGTTTTGCCTGCTACCAAACAGTCTAGGCTCTCCCCCAATGAGCCAGGAACTGGGGTTTAGTTCACTTGGAAGTGGGGTTGGAAGTGGGGTTCAGAGCAGTCTGGAGTTTTTGTCTTGTTCCTGCTAGGGCAATCCAGCAGCACAGTCAACTGTCCGTTCTCTGTGCACAATGTGCGCGCCTCCGGGACTGCCTTTCGCCGCTCCCTTGAGGTTCCGCCTTACAGCCCAGACTCCTTCCTTATGTGTCTGGGTCCCCAGGGTCTCGCCCAGAACTGAGGTTCAGTGCTGTCGGAACTGGGGTTCAACACAGTCCAGAGCTTTTATCTCCTTCCCGCTAGGGAACGCCAGCCAGACACTCAGCCTCCCCCTCCTCTCCGGCTCCGTCCTCTCCACGCACACAGTGTGTCTCCGTAGCTTAGACTTTTACAGCTCCTCTGATTTTCCTTCTGGTTTTCTCTTTCCTTCTCATTGTAGAATTTCCAGTCAGTCGACTTTCCTGTAGTTCTGGATAATGTTCATTTTGTATTTTAGTTGTATTTTATTGAAATTGTTGTGTGAGGCTGCAATTAGGTGTTTACCTTTGCTGCCATCTTGGATTCTCCTTGCTTTGTTTTTTTAGTTAAAGAGAAGCTCATAGGGAGTCAGAACATTGAAAAGATTCTTAGAAAACCATCCATTCAATCTGCTTACCTCACAGATGGGTTGTAAGATTCTCTGCCTTCTTATTAGTGGCAGAGCTAGGATTAGAACTTTTTTTTTTAGACTTGGAATAAGGGGAAAGGATGTGGGTAATTGTGGTTTTTAGAGGATACCATTGTAGGGGCCAGGAGAGTAATGAGGAAGTGGACTAGAGTGGAGATTCTTGACCTTGGAGGGGCTAAGAAATGTCTCACTTGATTTGTCCTATTCAGATTTTCTAAGGGACTTAGAGGGATGGTGTTTTAATCTCCATGCGGCAGTCTCAAAAAGTAAGACAACATGAGTGAAATAAGTCAGACAGAAAAAGCTAAGAACCATATGATTTCACTCATGTGGAATATAAAACTGAAAATTCAGGGGAAAAATAAACAAAACTGAAACATATGAACACAAACAGCAGAATGGTGGTCACCAGAATGAAGGGGGTACAAGGTAAAGGGAGTTCTAATATGAGATGTCAGGAGAAGATTTGACTTTGGGTGGTGGCACATGGTGCAATATACAGATCTTATAACAGAAATCCACACATGAAACCTATATGTTCATGTTGACCATTGTCACCCCAATTAATTTAATAAATAAATTAAAAAAAAAAAGTAAGACAACAGAATGACATCATCCTATTTCCCTTAATTAGCATCAACCACGGCAGAACTGGAATCAGAGTGGAAGGTCACTCTTGCCCACTCTGTCAGGTGATCCTAAGCAGAAGCGTGACTAGTAAAATTTAGCCACCTGAAGTGTATAAATAAAGTTTTTGCTAGAGGACTTCTCATTTCCCCCCCACGTTAATAGGTTAACTATTGGAAGTAGCTTAATTCTGGATGTTTAATTTTTTAAATATATATTTTATTGATTTTTTTACAGAGAGGAAGAGAGAGGAATAGAGAGTTAGACACATCGATGAGAGAGAATTATCGATCAGCTGCCTCTTGCACACCCCCTACTGGGGATGTGCCTGCAACCAAGGTACAAGCCCTTGACTGGAATTGAACCTGGGACCCTTCAGTCCGCAGGCCAATGCTCTATCTACTGAGCCAAACCGTTTTTGGCAAGGGTATTTAATTTTTTTAAGAGCAATGCAACTGATGGGATTTTTGGTTGCTTCTAGCAATTCTTTGATAGATAGGACTGCATTCTAATTTTAGTATTTGGCTTATCAGCGCCTCCTGCTGACCCATTGTGTTTATGCAGTGCAGCGTCGGCTTCTGTGGCAAGCCTTCCGTAGCTGTTTTGCCTCTGCAGTACACTTCAGATTCCCTTCTCCTAGACCTAGGAAGGCAGGGCCCGTTCATTTTTTACAAACGTTTTAACTATTTTATGTTTTAAGCATATGTAAAAGTAGGTAAAATAATAGTACAAATCCCCATATAATTATTACCTAATTTCAACAGCCAGTCTTGAGTCATCTCTATCTCTGTTCATTCTCCATCCCCTCAGCTTTGGGAGCTGATCTCAATATCAAGCATCATATTTCATCCATAAATATTTTCATATGTATCTCTAGAAATTAATAATGAAAGAAACTCACAGCCATAATGCAATTATTACATCTAAAAAGTAATAAGAACTCCTTAATATAATCTCATAGACAACAGTATTTAAATTTTCCAGATTCTCATAAATATATTTAACAGTTTGAATTAGAGTCCAAATCAGGTCCACACATGCT